GGGGGCCGCATCCGGCCCTCGGGCCTTAGGTTGCCTACCCCTGGTATAAACACTCTCATACATTCACAGGTATACTTCTGTATACATGCATGTGCAGGTAAAGAAAAGGGGTCACCCATATGTTGTGGTGCACTATATCAATGCTCAACCCAGAACATCTTGCTGAGAGGGAAATATCCTTTCATGAGTTGTCCTGTTCATTTTAGTTGTTTTTCTTTTTCATTGTCATGTTTTTAACTTTCTTTCATTCTATTGATTACTTAATTATATTTCTAACTTTTGTATGATGTGATTTTTTTTAAAGCTATACCTGTCTTAGGTTTTGTAAGCCACCTTGAATCCCAGACTGGGGACAAGTAGGCAATAAATACTGTAATGCCAACAATGATAACAAGAACCCAAAACACTTGAGCCTCAACAGTGTTGCTTAGTCCCAACTACAAGAAACCCACTGAAACAATTTTTGAATGGTGAGTCAACCCATGGGTAAACCCCATAGATTCTACAGATTTAGTCTAGTTTGGAGGAAAAGCAGGATTCAGGTTCTGTGGCTTTTTCCAAGCACATATAGATAAGTTAAAACAGTAAGGTAAAAATAGCCAACTGTGATTGGGCTCTCCTAAAACTGTCAGATCTTGAATTGAGTGGGAAGAAGCAGGAAATAAATGTTTATAGCATCCAAAGGAGTCCTCAGGAGACCACAGTACTGTGGCAGTCTGATCTAATGCTGCCATAGAGGACCTACTGTAGGTCATTTGCCAACAGATAGCTGGTGATAATGGACTGGAGTCTGGGTGTGTACGACTGGAAGCACATCATGAATGTGTGTATGGGAAGCAAAGAATCACCCCTCTGCATGCTGAAAGGCACACACAAAGATATCTCCTGTCCTCTGTGTCAGGGCCTTTACAGGCTGCCAGAAATAATGCAGCTTGAGACCACTTTAACTGTCCTGGCTCAATGCTAGGAAATCATGGGAAGTATATTTTTTTTCCTGGGACATTGAGCCTTCTCTGTCAGAGAGCTCTGGTGCCACAATAAACTACATTTCCCATGATTTCCTAGCACTGAGCCAGGACAGTTAAAGTGGTCTCAAGCTGCATTATTTCTGGCAGTCTATAAAGGTGTCAGGGAAAGTCAGGAGAAAGGGTCATATGAGGAGAAGGCAAGACACATGCCAACGATGGGCAAGGTGGTCACAAGGAGGGGAATGAGATGGTAGGAACTCCTTTCAACAGCCTTTGTGAGAAAATGAAAGAGTGAAGCAACTACTGTAGCTCAAGAGAACCAATGATTTTTTTTTGGGGGGGGGAGAGATAAGAAGAGGCCACAAACCCAGCCATCCTCAAAAACTTGGCAGGGATGGAAGAGATATCTCTGGATAACCCTATCCCTATAAGTCTGCCTTAGCTGTATTTGTTTTAACTTTAGTAAGCTGTCAGCATGGCATATTGGTTTGAGCGCTGGATGACTCTGGGAGTCCATGGTTCAAATCCCTTGTTCAGCCATGGAAAACCAGTAGGTGACTTTGGGCAAGTCACATTCTCTCAGCCTCAGAGGAAGACAACGGCATACCCTCTCTGAACAACCTTTGCCAAGAAAACCCCATGATAGATTCATCTTAGGGTTGCCCTGACTCGGAAGGCACAAAACAACAAGCTGCCCTGAGTGGGGATAAAGGCAGGACAGTAGTAGTAGTAGTAGTAGTAGTAGTAAGTGTTATTGTTGATGTGTGCCTCAAGTCGTTTCCAACTCATAGCGACCCTAAGGTGACCCTATAGTGGGGTTTTCTTGGCAAGATTTGTTTAAAGGAGGTTTGCCACTGCTTTCTTCTGAGGCTGAGAGAGTGTGACTTGCCCAAGAGGTCACCCAGTGGTTTTGCTGGCCAAATGGGGATTTAAACCCTGGTCTTCCAGAGCTGTAGTCCAGTGCTCAAACCACTATGCCATGCTGGCAGCATAGAAAAGTATGTGACTTGCCCAAGTTCAGCCAGTGGGTTTCATGCCCAAACTGGGAATCAATCAATAGAACAGTAATAGTAGCTAGTAATAATAAACTAGAGAGCTAGCCTGGTGTAGTGGTTTGAGTGTTGCACTACAACTCTGGAGGCCTGCTTGGCCATGGAAACCCACTGGGTGACCTTGGGCAAGTCACATGCTCTCAGCCTCAGAGGATGCCCATGGCAAAATAATAATAATAATAATAATAATAATAATAATAACAACAACAACAACAACAACAACAACAACAACCCTCTGAAGAAACTTGCCAAGATAACCCCAGGATAGGTTTGCCCAAGGGTTACCATAAATAGGGTTGCCATATTCCAGTCCATTATATCTGGGCATCTAACTGGTTTATTAATCAAATTATTATAATTATGCATATTATTAATTTGCATTCTGATTATGCTCATTCAGCACATTAATCATTGCACTTTTTTGACCATTAAGGAGAAATCTGGGATTTACTGCTTCTACTGGCCCAGCCCACAGGGACATTTTTTAATCTCTTCAATACAGGATTTTCCTGGTTTTCCAGGACAAATGGCAACCCTAACTGGAAAGGACTTGAAGGCATACAACACACACACACACACACAAATAAATAAATAACCACTGCCACCCTTCTCCTTCTGACCCCATCCCTGGCACCTGTCAATGCTTAACTATATCAGTGCTCAACCCAGAACATCTTGCTGAGAGAGAAATATCCTTTCCTAATGAGTTGTCCTGTTTATACGAGTTGTTTTTTCTTTTTAATTGCCATATTTTTTAACTTTCTTTCATTGTATTGATCATTAATTAATTTTTTTAAACTTTTGTATAATGTGATTTTTTAAAAAAAAGCTATACCTGTTTTAGGTTTTGTAAGCCACCTTGAATCCCAGACTGGGGAAAAGTAGGCTATAAATACTGTAATGACAACAGTGACAACAAGAACTCAGGACACTTGGGCCTCAACAGTGTTGGCTAGTCCCAACTACAGGAAACCCACTGAAACAATTGTTGAATGATGAGTCAACACACTTTGAAGGCACACAACAAACAGACGAAAGTATTCTCCTATGTATCCCTATGGGAAAATATCCTCCAATGTACCCCTATAGGCAAGTATGGTTTCTCTGTAGCAAGTACTGTCATTTGTTTTTAGGACGTCCCTTTTTTGGACTGTTCAATCTGGGATTTTCCAGGTTTTCTGGGACTTATGGCAACCCTAGTGGGAAAGGACTTGAAGGCACACAACACACACATACACAATAATAACAAACCACTGGTGCCCTTCTCCTTCTGACCCCATCCCTGGCACCTGTCAATGCTCAACTATATCAATGCTCAGCCCAGAACATCTTGGGAATGAGAGGGAAATATCCTTTCCTAATGAGTTGTCCTGTTTATATGAGTTGGTGTTCTTTTCTTTTCAATTGTCACGTTTTTAATGGTCTTTCATTCTATTGATCACTTAATTATATTTCTCACTTTTGTAGGATATGGGGTTTTTTTAAAGCTGTACCTGTTTTAGGTTTTCTATGTACAGAAATCTTGTTGCACTTTGGGACTAACTGAAATAAAGAAGTTGGCAGCATGAGCTTTCATAGACTTCAGTCTAGTTCCTTGGATGCATATAGACATCTGCGGAATATGCATCTGAGGAAGTAGACTAAAGTCTACGAAAGCTCATGCTGCCAACTTCTTTCTTTCAAGTCTCAAAGGTACTACAAGATCTCTCTACATACTGATTCTACAGACTAACACAGCTATTTTTAGGTTTTGTAAGCCAACTTGAATCCCAGGCTGGGGAAAAGTAGACTACAGTGGTCCCTCCCCATTTGCTGGGATTACGGATGAAGGACCCCTGTGAATGTGGGAAAACCACAAATAATAATAAAAGCCACTGTATTTTTTCCTAAGAGAACACCTCTCTATTATTCTCCAGGTCCTCCAGTGCTAATCTATGGCCAACATCTGCCAAATGTTGATCACAGAATCATGCTGAAGAACCTACAAATGCCTAGAGAAGTGTTTTCTCTAGGAACTTCTAGGTTTTCCAGCACAACATTAGGAGGAACTTCCTGGTAGTGAGAGCTGTTTGACAGTGGAAGATACTCCATGGAGGAGGAGAGCGGTGGAGTCTCCTTCTCTGGAGGTCTTTAAACAGTCTGTCATAGGGGGTGCTTTGGTTGTGAGTTCCTGCATGGCAGAATGGGGTTGGACTGGGTGGCCCTTGGGGGTCTCTTCCAACTCTGTGAACTCTGTGGTCAACTTCTGTCAGAGTTTAGGTACGTAGAAAGATCTTGTAGCACCTCTGAGACTGAAATGAAACAAAGAAAAACTGGCAGCATGAGCTTTCCTAGACTCCATTCAGTCTACTTCCTCAGATGCAGAGGCCCTAGAGATTCCTAGAGAGAAGCTATTGATCCAAAGAGTAAATGATCAAAGCTGCAGGTGTATCAATAGTGTCATGAGTATA